GAATAAATGTTGCTCTCCTTTCTTCCCCTGGGTTTCTGACGCTCACACAAATAAGCAAATGATGCCCAGCAAGCACCAGCAGATGAGACGCTCTGAACCTGGCTTTTGAGGAGCCCTGAGCTTCTGAAATTGAACAACTTCCTGGCTGTGTTTTTACAAAATCTACCATATCACAAGCGACATCCAGAATTATGGTCAACACTCCTATGGATGGCCTTAAAAATCTAATTTGCTGCTTTTCCGAAGATTTGGAAAGCTCTGTTCCTGAATGGTAGTCACTTCCTAGAAATTACTTTAAAGCACCGAGAGAAAGTCAGTTAACACCTTTGTGTATTTTTACATGATGGTCACACTGCAGCAACAGGACCTTAGCCGTCTTACTCTGCATAGAAAGACAACATGTCTGACAGAGCTCGCTTAGTCCTTGTCACTGGAAGCCCAGCTGGCGCCCAGAAGGAAGCAGCAACGTGCTGGTGACATCACTGTGGCAAAGACAGCATTTTTCACATTCTGGAGCGTGGGGAAGACAATCTGGCCAAGTAATGAAGACGTGTTCACTTAGGGTAATGGGAGATCTCTCTTGTTTCAATTAATTCTTACTTCCACATAGTGGCAGAATATTTGATGAGGCTTCAAATAAAGTGGTTGTGTTTTCTATGAAATAAAAGCAGAAATCAGACCAAAATAATTACAGTCTGAGGTTTGAAGCATATGGTGTGTGTGACTTTACAGAACTGCCCAAGCCTTCAATGCTCTTTCCAGAAGAAAGTTCGAGAGTGGGCTTTTTCTTCTTAAAGGAAAAATAAAAATGCTTACGTTTTGCTATCTCTTGTCTCTTAAAAATAGTTGTCGGGCACTGTGCTTATGTCTGGGGTAGTTACACTGGCAACTGGGCCATAATTCTTTTCTGTTTTCCCATGCAAATCTCTTTGAGAAGTAATTTCTTTTCTTCCTTCCTCTTTTAACATTTTAGGAAGTACATGTTTCACACTGGTGTGGAATGACACAGCTTTGTTTACAAATTTAATCCTAGGTAGGATTATGTAAAATGGTGAGTGCCCATAGGCATGCCAGACCAATTTAGTAAATTTATTTTTGAATTGTTAATGATAAAATATTGACCTTAGATATGTTTGTTACTTCAGGAGGCAGGGAACTAAGTAAGAATAAGAGACTCAAGCAGGTAAAGGCCCTCCCTGGTCGTGCAAAGGGTTAGAGGGCAGCACTGCAAGCTAGCTGTGGCAGCTTCAGTGCAAGTTCGATCCCCACCCCGGAGGTGACCCACATGGCGCGACGGACCTCGCTGACCCACCCGCTGCTCCCCTCTGCATTGTCCATTTGCCTGTTCTGCTCTCCATTCTGTCTCTGGTGAATTTTCTCGCCACCCCTGCACCTCTGGCCTGTACCCCAGTTCTGTATGCATAAATAAATAAATCTGTGAAATAAAATATTATTTTCTATTTTTTGTCATGAATCACCAACTTTAGTAACTTATCGCAATCAAATAACCTCTTGGTAGCCATTTTGCTCATTTATAGATACAGCAGCAAATATGCAATTGTTGCTGCATGTGCTAACTTCAGCTTTCTGTGTGGTCTCCAAGAGGACCAGATACACTGCTGAACACATAATAGGTGATTGCTTAATCACCTCTAGGTAACGCTTATTGCCTAGAAGCAGAATCAATAATATAGATAGCTTCTGGGTCTTTGAGGTGATAAGCAACCTCAAAATACCCTAATCATGCAGTTGAATATTACTTTGGATCTTTAACAGGTTGTTTAACTAACTCAGACAGAGAACCTCAATGTTCTCAGCATCTTGAAGACTAAACAAGGCTTTAGCCATGTAGAAATATTTTGCTAGGTTCCTTTGGATGTGAATTAGTAAAGTTAGCTCCTTTTATACATGTCTTTCTCTTTCTGCCCACCATAAATCTCTGGGGCAACAACTGACCTAAGATAAATTCCATTAACATTAAAATTTTTTTTTGTTAACCATTGCTGAATATAGTTGTATATTCATTTTGTTTGTTTGTTTTACGCATGTTGAAATATCATGATAATTTCATGTGGGTGGTGCAGGGTTTAAAATATCAGCACTATTGCACTCTCCCTGTGGTGCAACAGGTTAAAGCACCACATTATGAAACTCTCTGAAGCCGCTGCAGCACAAGTTCGATCCCCAGCCAGGGAGCTGATCCACATGGGGCAGCAGACCTCTCTTGTCTTGCCCACTGCTCCCCTCAGCAATGTACTTCATCAGTCTGCCTGTTCTGCTCCCTACTCTGTTTCTGGTGAACTTTCTCACACCCCTGCACCTCTGGTCTGGACTCCAGTTCTTGTATGCATAAGTCTCTTTTAAAAAAAGATTAAGTCGGGCCCTCCCTGGTGGCGCAGTGGGTTAAAGCACTGCACTAAGAAGCTTAAGCCACTTCCGCATGAGTTCGATCCCCGCCTGCCCCGGAGGAGATCCACATGGCACGGCAGACCTCTGTTCTGCTCCTCACTCTGTCCCTGGTGAATCCTCTCACCCTCCGCATCTCTGGCCTGTACCCCAGTTCTGTATGAATAAATAAATAAATCTTTAAAAAAAAATTAAGTCTTTTGAGAACAAGCTACTGCAGCATCATTTAGGGAAAGAAAAAAGAAGTGAGGCTGGGCTTGCAATGACGTGGCCAACACGTAGGTGCAGCTCTCCCAGCTTCCTGACTGCTTCCTTTGTCACACTGCCTCTCCAAGACATACCTTGGGAAAACAGGTGACTCAGTTTAATGGCCTCTCCCAGGCAGTGGGCACTGGAAACCTGATCTCAGGCAGCGGGAAAGGAGAACACAGCAAGGAGGTAGACAGGAGACTCTTCTTGGGCAGCTATTTGATGAGGTCAGGGGACTGCCTGAGTGAGCAGGCACCTAGAGGGAAGGCCAACTAGAAAAGAAAAATCAAGTCGCAGACTTCCCTAAAGCCCTGACTGTATTTTGCTGGCAACTTCTCAGTGTAGGTGCAAATGACTCCACAAAAGCAGGGTGATATTTAACAAATAGGGTCTTGTTTTCCTGCAAATGTTCCAGAGAGAAAGTAACAGGAAAGAAAGCTTATTCTCTCAGAAAGTACAGGTCCTGCCAAATGGTTTCTAAATGTGCCTCTCAAAAATTTTCATGTGCCAGCCATGGTTTTTGAGTACTTCTAGAAATGGAAAGAGCAAAAACCAATGACCTTAGAGAAAGCAAGAATTAAAGGGAACTTACTTGCTCAGAAAACAGGCAGTCTTGCTTTTAAGTCACCAGATAGAGGAGGCAATGGTCCTTTTCATAAGCTAGAAACGCCCAGTTATGTCACTTGGATGTGAGGAAAATGCTAAAGGCCCAAAGGAAGTTTCCAGATAATTCTCTATTTGAAACTCAAGTGAATAACTGTTCCTGGGGTATATATTAGGAAACCAGACTGTCTCACTGGAACTTCAGTGAGCAATTTGTTTGTTTAACGCTGGAATCCAAAAGACTGTAATTTTACCACTTACTAGAACTATTTTTAGCCTACCGGAGTGAACCCAGAAGATGTCAAAACAGTGGAAAAACATTTACTCCTGAGTTGGGTGGTCGATTTCCAGAATAGCCAGCTTCTTTTGTCAATTTAAATAGGTGTATTAATTCAAGCCAGTTATTTCACCAACAAAACTAGAGTTATGGAATTGGGAATTCACAAAAAGTTGGAAACCCGAAGACTGAGCAGAGAGGCACTGTTCATCGGCCCCTCTCCCACCGTCCAGGGTATTTTCTCTGGCAGAAGTGTCAAACTGAAAGTCTCGTTTGTCCAACCATTTTTAGTTGGTTATATAAGCAAGTTCCAGCTAGTCATTTCCTAACTTATTGTGGAAGTCATTGTTAACCTCATACTACATTTCTCTGCTGTGCAGGCTGCTAGGAAAATTTTGTTCATTTCTCAAAAAACCAATAGTGTTTGAGGAAAATGCAAACTTGTTTTATTATAAAAATAATACATGCTGGACCTCCCTGGTGGCAAAGGAGTTAAGTCCCAGTGCATTCATGCTATCACCACGGCAGCCTGAATTCAATCCCCAGCCAGGGATGTAAGCACATGGTGCAACAGACTTCTCTTGTCTCACCTACTTCTTCCCTCAGTGGTGTATTTCAGTAGAACCACCTGTTCTGCTCCCCACTGTGTCGCTAGTGAATCCTGTCAGAAAGCCTCCTTCCCCCCCAGCTCTGACCTACATCCTAGCTCTTCTACACATAATAATAAATAAATAAATCTTTTTTAAAAAATCAAAATAATACATGCTCGTGGTTTATAAATTTAACCAGGAAGAGAGGGCGTAAATGTAGAAACATCAACATTCTCTCCTAGCGCTCAAGCACAGTCTCAGTCACTGGCAACAGCTACAAAACATGGTTCTATATCTTACAGTTGGGAGCAAAGTTCACCGAAAACTCACTCTATGTCTGTTAGAACCTGAAGATATAAAAGCAAGAAATAGTTCCCTTCCAAGTACAACCAGTGGGAGCCAGTGCTGAAGGCAGGGTAGCCGCCCAGGGCAGCTTGGCAGGAGAGGTCGCATTTGAGTTATATACTCAAGGCTGGATGGGAATGGAAGAGAAGTCATGAAAAGAATGTCAACCAGAAAGAATTGCATAAACAAAGGCAAGGAGGTCCCAGCTTGAACCTTCTGCTTCCAATGTCCTAGCATCTTGTGTGGTTGGCACTGAAGGGCATGAAGGAAAGTGGTGATACACTCACAAAGTGCTGATTGGTAAGTATTGGTCTGGGAACGTGGCTTCCTGCATCTCCATCAGCTGTACATCCGGGGAATTGAAGTGGGCAAAGTTCAGAACTTCTCAGAAGCCTGGCTGATGGCTCTGGCCAAGCTACTTGACTAGAAGTCAGTCACAACAGAAACATAAATTTCCACAACCTGAAAAACTGATAGCTTTTTTTCTAGATCTTTCCAACTTGAAATCCAACCATTGGTTTCTGTTTCAGGCAACCCACACCTGGATTTATGGATATGCAAGGAAAATTCAGTCGTGCTTCTATTGCCTGGCATATGGGTGATTATGAGGACATTGATCAAAGAGAGTGCAAGTACGCTGTCCTCCTCAGGCAGAGGAGGGCATCATTGCCAAGAGCGTCCAGACTACCTAGGTTGCCAGAGCAACTGAAAAAGAAGGTATGGCCACTTACTTCTCATCTTAGAAAATATCTACTTAAACATATGAACTAGAGGATGCTATTTAATAATAAAACAACTAGTAATCAGTTTCCTAACTCCTTTAATCTTCCAAACTTTTCGTAATATGCTTTGGATGTCCATAGGGATGGCTACACGGGATGTGGGCAGGCAGGTACTGTTTCCTCCATATAGCTAATGAAGCAAGAGTTTGTGAGGCTCAGTCTTCAGAATCGCTTATTTATTAAATGGCTTAACCTGGAGAGAATGTGCTTCCTTTGCCGCCTAAAAGCAGAGGGAGTGCTCAGTTTGTAGGCCCACAACCCCCTCAGAAAGCCCTCAGACTCCTTAGCAGAGTAAGAACATAGCAGTTCATGCTAAACATGGAGCTTCCCTATGACCCAGCAATCCCACTCCTAGGTATCTACCCAAAAGACACAAAAACACTGATTGAAAAAGATACCTGCACCCCCATGTTTACTGCTGCTTTATTTACAATTGGAAAAACATGGAAGCAGCCCAAATGCCCAAAAGTAGATGACTGGATTAAAAAGATGTGGTACATATATACAATGGAATATTACTCAGCAACCAAAAACGAGAAACACATGTCTTTTGCAGCAACTTGGATGGAGCTGGAAAAGATCATGCTGAGTGAGATAAGCCAGAAAGAGAAAGAAAATTACCGGATGGTTTCACTCATAGCAGGAGTATAATGTACCAGGCGAGAAAATAACAAAAATAATGAACCACCATATACCAGAGACATTTTGCGAGGGTGGAGTGGGGAATGGGATCAAAAACGGGGGTGGGGGGATAGGGAAATGAACGGGATTATGGTGATGGCACATGGGTGTCTTGGTGATGGGAACCCCGCGGGGATTACAATTGAAATGGAAAAAAAAATGTACAAAATGATGTAAAAATAAACTGTTTAAAAAAAGAACATAGCAGTTCAAATTCAGGTTTCACCTTATTATTACCTATGGACTCTTGAGCAAATTACATAATTTTTTATTAGGGATTGGGGATATTAGTGTCTAATCTGAATTCTTTGTGGCAGTATCATGAAAAACAAGTAAATAATGTGTAAGTGTACATTCAGATCAACAACTATTTCCTGAGGTTCTTCTGTGTAATCCCATTGCAAAATACACTTTGTAGATGTCAATGTTGCAGGACACTTTCGACTTTCAATTTCCCTGATAGAAAAGGGAACAGGTAGTAAGGATCCAATGAGTGATTCCTGTTCTGTACGTGGGGAGACTCCTTGCTCCACTGAAGAATCTTACCAGCTCTGTAGAATAGTGCTTACCCTCTGTCACTAGAGATCTAATTCATCAGCAATTAATTATGTCTATTTAAAACATTCTGTGAGGGAGCGAGACAAGTCCTCCTTGGTAGGTCCTGACCCCAGGGACACTTGGTATTGAGTTCAGTTACTAACATTGCTGTGTGCTCTGAATTTGGGTTGCATCCAAATGAGATGATTTATTGCAGTGTGTGTGGAGGAGGCTTGGATTACTGAACTAATTTTGTGTAGGATTAGAACGAAATAAACAATCCCAAATGTCTCCTATCATTCACCAAATCTATTGAGATATTTTTGTGCAATTAAAAAATCTGTCAAAAGACTATTTTGACATGTTAAAACTTACAGAAGACTTGCAAGAACAGTACAAAATTAACTCCTTATATACTCGTCACCCAGAAGTATTACTTGCTAATTTATTTGCATTATAAATTAATAAATTAGCTTTAATGCTTTCTTCCTGTGATCTCCACTCACACTCACAATTGTCTTCCCTGGACCACTTGAGGGTGAAGTCAGCGGCCCGATGCTCTTTTACTGCTAAATATTTCAGCACTGTTTCCTCAGAACAGGAAATCTCTCTCACATGACCACTGTATGCCTGCAAGATTCCGGAATCTCAAAAAGACCCCTGTACCCCCATGTTTATTGCTGCTTTATTTACAATAGGAAAGACATGGAATCAACCCAAATGCTCAAAAGTAGATGACTGGATTCAAAAGATGTGGTATATGTACACAATAGAATATTACTCAGCAATCAAAAAAGATAAACACATGCCTTTTGCAGCAACATGGATGGAGCTGGAAAAGATCATGCTTAGTGAGATAAGCCAGAAAGAAAAAGAAAAATATCGGATGATTGCACTCACAGCAGGAGCATAAAGGATGAGTGGGGGGGAAATATAATAATGAACAACTATATACCAGAGACATTTTACAGGGATGGGAGTGGAGGATAGGATCAAAAATGGGGAGTGGAGGAAGTGCACGGGGCTGTAGTGATGGCACATGGGTGAATTGGTGATGGGAAGTCCACTACAACTGAGATGGAAAAGGCACAAAAATGATGTAAAAATAAACTATTATAAGAAAAAAAAAAGATTCAGGAATCTCACATTGATGTAATAATGTTACATAATCCATAGTTTCTACTATGCTAACCCAATGACTCCTTTCTTTTAATCCCTGTCTCAGGACCCAATCTAGTCTCATGGATTCCATTTAGTCCTAATGTCTCCGTATTCTCCTTCAACTTGGATCATTTTTCAGGCTTGGTTTTTTATAACTATTAATTCTGAAGAGGCTTGGCCATTCTGTAGCATATCCCTAACTGTGGGTTTAATCTGCTCTTTTCGGATATCAGGTAGAGTCAGCCGATGTGTTCTTGGGTAGAATCGCAGCTAAGAGATGTTATATCTCAGGGCACTGCATCAAGGAGGCACTGGTGTTCGAATCATTGTTAGCGAGGGTAACGGATCACTTTGTCATTCCTCTTCCCTTTCAGAGATAAAGTACGATGGCATTCAAAATAATCTCACTTATCAATGAAGTTTTTTTCTAAATTTCTAGAGGCACCTCAAAAACTTTCCCCAGTCCATTGTATGAACCACCCTACAGGATATTTGATAAGTACTCAAGTTCCCTCCCCCCTTTTTTGAGTACTCTTTTTAGGAAAAATAACTTAAGCAAGTGTTCTAAATCAGAAGCAAACATGAATGCTTCTGAACAAATGAACGTGTAGCAAGTTGCCACCCTGGTGCCTCACACTTAGCCAGTGGGTAACATTATCATTTTTGCTCTCATTTTCTTCTTTTGCTCTCTCATTCTCGCTCAGTCTTACTTTCTCTCATATTCCTCTCTACTCTTTTTCTCTCTTCCCACCACTATTTCTTATACTCCTTTGCCTGCTTCCTTTTAACATCAAAACTGTCAATGTTATTTATTTTGAAAAATCAGTTCTTATAACAAGGATATTACCTTATCAGATTGCTATATGTGTTCAATATTTCTTGGTCGTTCTGACTTGCTTCACTACAAAAACTCCCTCTAATTCTTTCCATTTTGCTGTAAATAACAGAATTTTGTCACACGAGTGTGAGAGCAGTATTTTTCAGATTTTAATGTATACAAATACATAATGTCATCATTGGGATGACATTAGGGAGCAAATTGAGTCAGTAGGATTGGGTTGCAACTTGAGGCCCTCCATTTACCTCCAAAGCTTTTGCAGTACAGTTGCTGCTGATCTGGGAACCTTGAACAGAGCTAGAAGAATTGGTACTGAATTGCATTTTAAGTTAGTGACAGGAGGGATGTGATGGACCCAAGGGGAGGGGGCAGCTGGAAGGGACTGACAGGTTAACAAAAACCTAGTGCCTTTGGGGACCTGCATGTAGTTTGACATACAGGGGTGACTCGTGGTGGGGTGCTGGGGTTGAAGAGTGACCATCTGCTTCAGTCTAGTACATGGTCAAAAGAACTTTGATTTTACCAGGCTGACTTGCAAACGGGAGTGACGGCATCACTTTTAATTTTGGAGAGGTTATTTAGCAGTTAGCTTGGAAGAGAACTGATTACAGCTGTTTGAAATGTGAGGGAGGGCATTGCTTGTAACACAGTGGAGAAATGAGTAGTGATTGAAAGGAGGCAAAAATAAGTAGGTTCAAAGCTCTCGGTACAGACTAGATGTGAGGAAGGATTTCTGTTCCTGTGCAGGGAGGGCGAGGTAGGCTGCTCACCTGCAGACCTAGGTAAGGGCTGGCGTGGAATTCAGGTGGCAGTGTCATGAATGAGCAGTAAGCAAGCGAAAGCCAACAAAAACCCTTTTCAATTCTTTGTTACCAAAGGAAGGAGAAATAAAATAAAGAGGGAGTTTTATTTTATTCATTTAATATGATTGAATAATAATGAATGAATTCATATTATGTGAATCTGGTTCATTTAACATGCTTGGGACAATTTTTCTTCACACTTTGAGTAGCAAGCGTCCTTAGACTGAGAACTTGATGAGAAGGGAAGATAACTGGTAGTTTGTGGTCCCAAAGAACGAGAGAAGCACAGGTGTGGGAATCCAGTCACACTGCCGGGTCTGAGCTTTATGGGAAGGCTTTTTCCTTTCCCAGTGGGAATGAAGTGTTACCTTCTTCCTTGCTACCCAGGGGGTTATTTCAAGCTTATGCTTCTCTTGTTCTCTCTTCTTGGCAGCATATAACCAGAGTATGACCTTGTGCCTCAGTCGTTAGGGTGAAATCTCTTCATGGAATGTAAACTACAACTTTACACCCTTAAAGATCTTTGTTTCAAAGTCTACTTCCTGTAACTTGGTGTGATGATACTCTAACTTTACTCAACTCCATTTGGAATATCATACCAAGTTACAGGAAGTGAGCCTTTGAAGTAAAGAGAGATAATCTTTGGATTAATCTCTTAAGCACCCATATTAGTCAGCATTCTCCAGATAAACAGTAAGATGTATGTGTGTGTAGGCAGGAAGAGAAAGAGATTAGGGAACTGGCTCACATGAATCTGCAGGGCAGGCCCGCAGACTAGAAACGGCGGCGAGAGTCCAAAGGCTGAGTCCAAAGGCAGTCTGCAGGCAGAATTCCCTCTTCATTTCCTATTATTCAGTCATATTCAAGAATAAAATAAAGCAGATGGACACCTGCTTTACTCCGTCTCTCATTTAAATACGAATCTTGGGCCTTCTCTGGTGGCCCAACAGATTACAGAGCAAGCACTGAGAAGCTAGCTGTAACCGCTTCGGTGTGAGTTCTATCCCCCGCAGGGAGGTGACCTACATGGTGTAGCAGACCTCTCCTGACCCGCCTGCTGCTCCCCTCAGCAGTGTACTTCATCAATATGCCTGTTCTGTTCTGCACTCTGTCTCTGGTGATCCTTTCACTGTCCCTGCGCCTCTGGCCTGTACCCCAGTTCTGTATGCATAAATAAATCTTAAATAAGAAAATCTTATATAAATAAGAATCTCATCTAAAAAATACCCTCACAGCAACATCCAGACTGGTATTCAGGTGCGGCAGCCCCTTGAAATGGACCAATGAATTTGTTATCATTGGTGCCCATCTGTTAGGAGGAGTAAGTGAGGCTTTATTCACATAGCATCTGTCAGAACTGTCCAGGCACTAGGAAAAAGAGAGCAGGGGGGGCAGTGTATGTGTCTAACTTCTGTAGCAATGGTTATATTCTAAAATTATTTGAGGAGCTATGGAAAACTAGAAACTTTCATTTAATCCAAAATCAGTTTTGAACTATCTAATGTGTGTAATTCAGTGTCATGTTATACTGTGAAGAGTTACACTTACCAGCATATTTTTCCTGATATTATATATCCATGGGTTTCATCCCTTTCATAGCAATTATTTTGTGATGTCCTTTTTATTTTCCTAAAATGAAATGTATAAATACAGCCTAGTTACAAACATCATTTGTAAAACACCAGTACCCTAGGAGTAATATTTTAAAGGCCATTTCTGTTGATATAGATTTTAATACCTAGACCTTGGGATCTCAGGTTAGTATAGAAAAATAATGCAGCAGACAGATGTCTACATCTGTGTGCATCTCCATGAATACCTCACTGCAAATGAAGACTGAGACAGAGACTGTATTAATGACTTAAATTCCATGAGTACCATGGTTGTGGGTAAAGTTGTTTCCAAAATAAAGTCAATTCTTGTTAAAATCTTAACATAGTAAAAATCTTTCCTTAATGAAGCAACAGTGGCATTCCTGGGAAATTCAGCATATTATTGTAGTCAAGTGAAGGATATATTGTACTTTCATGTAAAGCAGAACCAAAATCTCAGATAATTATAAACAGACTTTCATCCACACATGTCTAGTGAGATAGGAGCAGAGAACGATTCCTCATTCTGTAGGGTGTCATTCTCAGCCCCACTGATCATTTTATTAAACAAAAAAGGCCCTACAGTTCCAAACACCTGCTAAAAATCACTGACATAAACAATGAACGTGTCTGATGTGAATCATTGTGTAAATGAGGCCTCTAAGTTTAATTAGATATAACAAATCATAACACTAAGAAAAAATATTCAGGATAAATTCAAAAGGTTTATTGCACCAAATGCCACAGATAAATGGATCAAAGTAATACATGAGTAAGTTTTAAGAAAAAATTTCCACTCATTGACATTGATGTCTATTGAAGAGATCAAAAATATAAACTACCCATTTGTATTAATGGTGCTTCAATAACAAATTCCAGAATTGTCTCCTTATTTAACATCAGTGAAATTTACCCATAGTGCAATTCTGCTTCCCAGCTATATGTTTCACCCAATTTTGTTTAAAAATTAACATTTAGAGGGGACAGCTGATTTAGGCAAGTATTTATTAAAACGCCCTCCCCCAAACACAATAAAAAACAAATGGTCCACATTTACCAAGAGAAACTAAAGACTTTTTCAATTTGATGGCGAATCTATGCATAAACAAAATGCTTTCAAAAGTACGTATTAGTGGAAAAATCCAGACATTTAAAAGAAGTTGGGGGTTCACTTTATAGTCTTTATTTTTATGTACAACTCTAGTGAAGAACCTAAAAAGCTACAGACTAAATTTTTATAAAATCTCAGGACCTAATTATAAGATCCTAAACAACAGTTTAGTATCATGTAGTAAGTGGGATTTTCCTCCCTCAAAAAAGTTAATTTTGAAAAATATGGTAAGTTTAAAAAGTTGTGATGTGTAAACGGCAAATTCCATGGGATGTGAAAAGTTACTTTCATTAAAAAACAGTACACTTCAGGAAAAATGGATTGGAGCCTGTACAAAAAGCTATTTAACACTGATAAAAATAAAATACTTTGGAATTATGCACAAGTATGGAAGCTACATTTCAGATTTTCATTGTCACGTCTAAACGTACAGTTATCTTTACATTCGTCTCACTCATCAATCTGTTAAAAATAAGACAGCGACATGCTAGAAATAAGTCCACCACAGGATATATATACAGCCTGCTGTCACGCCTCGCCGGCTTGCTTGAAAAAAGCAAGATGCTACAAAAGTCACACTCAACAGGTAAGACTTAAAAGTTGAAGAAACCCTAAAGGTGGAATCCTGTCAACTGAGGTAGTTTTCTCTTTCTTTTTTTTATTTTTTAAAAAAAATTTTTTTTTTCCTCCTTGAGGTGGGCCTGGAAGCCTCTTAGCTAAAACAGAATGAAGCCGCCGGGGTGGCGGGTGTGTGAGTGGCTGTACCTCAACACGATTCCATGAGCTGGTTTTCTTTTCTACTCTTGGGAAGAGGTTGAACTTGAGACAAACACAACTTGCATGTTATTCATAGGAGGACCATAAAAGAGCAGCAACATTCTTGGTCTGTTTTTGCAGGCCATCGATGTGAGGATTAGGTTCTGACTGGAATCCTGAGCGTTGCTGAGACAACCCCCACAGGTGACCCACTTGCAGTTTTCCAACAGACGTTTTCTGAGAGTGTACTGGAACAGTAGCTTAAGAGGCAAATTAAATTTTCGGAGGCTTTGAGGGGGCTGGGCTAAATCTTTTACGTGTGGAGTTTAGAATCAGCCACTTAAAGCTAAATGTCCCCCTTATCTGGGTCTAATTTTCAACACGCACTATGCGTACATGTGCATGGAACTGATTTTGTATCTACTTATTTTCTACGAAACCCTGGAAGGTGGTGAATGAGGGAAAGTGCCCAAAACTGTAAACAAGGAACAGGGAAGGGGAGACGGGGGAATGCTTTAAGCTGGTGCAGCTGTGACAATGTAACATCAGCTCTTACCATTGACTCACATGTAATGAAAAACAAATGACAGAGAGCCCAGCCACAGGTCAGGTTCATTCTCTCTGTGTGACCCAACAGTATGATGTCATGGGACTAGACTGCAAAACTCCACATTCAGATGTGAGGCACATGGAAACAGAAGGAAAGGAAGGCAAAACTTCAATCTCAGGAAGGACAGGGAATAGAAATTAAAGATTGTAAAAGTCTGTCCGTTTCACACTGTAAAAAATGAGTGAGAAAGGTGCCCGTCCGGACCTACTTCTCATTATTCCTAAGAAATAACAGAGCTATTTGTCTTTCTCGGTGCTATTCTCTATCAAACAGGCAATTAACCTGCATTTGTTAAAAGAATAAACACACAAGCTTGTATCACTGGGTGTTCAGGATCAGGACTTCATCAAGTAGAAGAACTGAAGACATTCTAATCCCTAAAAATTCTTAAATACAGAAGAGATGCACTGGGGCGGAATTGGAATTAATGCAGAGAACAATGAAAGGAAACCGAGCCTGGTTATCACAAACTCCACAGAAACCCACAGGAGATCTTCAAGGTGCTCACAATGTTTTGCTTCACTAGATCAGCTCCCGTCGGTAACTATCCATTGTTAAGTCTTTCCTTGATCTTGGATGTCAGTACATAGTCTGTTTCACCATGAGTAAACGAAGTAAAATGTCTTTCAAATTAACAGAGAAATAAGTTTTGGAACTATGCTAATAAATCAATACTTTTTCATTTTGGAGCTATGTGAAAGTTAATTTCTGGAAAGGTGTTTTGAAAAGGATAGCGGGATTAGAAGGCACAGAGATGATAATGCAAAAATGTCGGTCATCTACGGATGGTTTATCAATGCTCAAATGAATGACTTTCATCAGGCATCCTGAGCTGTGGCGGCTTTCACGTCCCGCCAGGCCAGCTGTGCCTTTTAAAGTATAAATAGCCATTTGTATCAACTGTTATAAGAAGAAAGTGACTTCGGCTGGAAGATTTAGCAACAGAAACACTCTTGAGTTGATAGAAATCACTTTGGTAATCGGCCTCTCGCAGAGAGGCTGCGAGGGCTCCCGAGTCTGCAGGTGGGGTCGGGGCAGAGCCGTCCGCAGCCGCGGCCACCTCAGTCGGGGCTGCGACTCGGATTCTCTGACCAGCCACCCACCGCCAACCTCCCCATGGCCGCCCGCCAAACAAGGGAAACGCCGCAACGTCGTGAGGCCACAACGTCGTGAGGCCGGTGGGTCCCTGAGGCCCCCTCCTCCGGCAGTCAGGCCTCCTCGTGCTGTGTCAGCCGTAGCTGCAGCTCCCAGAGCCAGAGGCGGCAGGGGCGTCCTTCCTTTCGCTGCGATAAAAAGTCAGCTCCGCTCTGGAGCCCAAAGTCCTCCTGCCGCCGGTCTCCGGGAGTGGCACAATATGCATTCTTGGGCAGGAGGACTCCCGCTTTCCTTCTGGAATGGTCGCTGCGCTGTCTGCCCGGGTGCACGAGGGCTTAGTGTTAAGCGCAGCGCTTATGTTTCCTGCTCCCTGAAAGGTCACTCTCTGCTGAGGCGTGGGCAACAAAAGGCCTAAAGTGTTCGCAAGAGACATAAATGCCATTATGTCCAGTAGCCCGAAGTCTTCAATGAAGGCGCCAACTGAAAGCAACAAGGAAGCGGAGGCGCGATTGTTTGTTTGCTCCTCTTAGGCCTCTGACGTCAGAGGGCTTATTCCTGTCTCCTTCAGCTGAGACTCTGATTTGTTTTTTCTTCCAAGGAAGAACTATCCTGAGCTTTAGGTTACAAGAGTATTTGAGCGACGTAAGGGGAATGAGTACTGGCAATAGCCGTCAACAGAGGCAGGTCGTTGGATTCAATCCTGAATGTTGAAAGAAGAAAAAAATATTTAAAAACAGCATGACTTTTCAGGGCATTTTATGGCTAAGAACCAAATTTGCTAGATCTTTGCTGAAAACTACTGAGAAATCCAGAGACCGATGATAAGATGGTGTTTCTAATGCAACCTTGCAGGGGTCACTGCCCAAGGCGCCCATGGGGACTGCAGGTGGCGTGCTGTGTGGCGGAGTGGACACAGAGCTGGTCCTGCCCAGCCAGGCCCAGGTAGGTACTCGCTTCTCCTCCTCCCTGACGGGTCAACATGCCGGACGTCAGTGTTCTGCCGGGTCCAGGCACCACTGCCTAATGCTTACTGACCTGCACCCAGGCTCAAGGCAGCCTTAGGAAAACGAGGATAGTGATTTCTTCACACACCTTGGGAGATATGCTCACTGGGCTCTCTAACTAGATCCTCACCAAGCACTTGAGCCCCCACATTCTGAGAGCAAGGTGATAGTGACAGACCCTGAATGGAGACACACTCTCGGGGGGCTGGGGCGGCCCCTCTTCAAGCAGACATGGGTACAGCATGGTCGCAGGCTAAATGCAGCTGAATGTCCTGAAAAAGTTAGAACTGCTTCAGTCTGTGGAATGCTTGCTAACCTCTCTTGAATTCCAAAAAAAAAGAAAATTGAAAGTTTAAAAAAAAAAAGGGAGCTGGCATTCCTTTCTGGTGTTGCCTATATTGTTAAAATGACATATATTAGAAAAAAATTTGTGACAGTTAATGCCAAGACCCAAACAATACAGTTAAGTTATATGTAAGTGTGAAAGATACAAAGTTTTATCAGAATGTAGAGGGCTCAGTCTAGAAACAATACTTTGATGAGCAGGCCTGTTAAAAAAGTCTCAAGATTGGAAGTCTGTATGCATACTGTATTTGTTTGACCAGAATTAGAAGAGGCATCAGCATCATAAGGGACAATTTCCTACATGTCTAATGTCTTTTGCTGAAAAATTAAGCAGAGCGTAAAGCCAAAGCTGGAGTTTCTTCCCCTAGAGGATTTATGGCAGGACCCCCGGGAAAGGCTGTGCAGTGTTTGTGACCCAACAAGTCTTCACTTCTGACAGGCTTCTCCAGACAGGCAGGCCCTGAGAGCCCAGGAGAACGGTCTGTCTGCCTCCTCAGGGAAGCGCCGCTGCTCTGTGTGCAGCCCCAGCTGGTGACTCTGGCCTCTCTGAAATTACTAGAAATGGGCAGTGTGTGAGATTCGGTGTTTCACTTTCAAGCATAAAATAGTTCAGGGAGAAGACTTCATAAAAAAAAATATCACTCAAGTTTCTACATTTGTTTTGGGTGCAAAACTCTACTATCTGATACCAAGAGCATCCTGCTGACCAGGGAACAGCAGAGGCAACATTCACAGACCCCAAACACTTGCACTAAAGCTCAGGGCTGCAGATGTAGCGTGGTCTGGCCTCAGTGCCAGGGACAGCCCCCTTAGAGGCAGGGGACACGGTGGCACAGAACTCACCCCAGGATGACACCTAATTCTTTCACATGGACGCGTGTGTGCCCGCGAAGATATTCAGACAGCATCTTGCTTTTAAGGTACATCTCCTGTAGCCTGTCTTCGAGATGCATGACGCACTGCAAAGTAGGGAACACGCACAGTGAGCGCTGGAATTCAAACCTCGGCCGACACGTGCTATGTCCACGATAATTTCATCCCTTTCAAATACACTTACAAAATTACTGCTCATTATCAATCCTTCCCATGAGCAGATGTAAGTGCAGGTTTTTACTAAACAATGGTTTATTTTTTCCAATGACTTTTAAGATCTTCACATACATCTTCTAGTCTTTTTTAAAGAAGTATTTGCTTTTTGCATAGTTGAAATCCTTTAAGTGCAATCATTTTCTGCTTCTAAAAAGATTTATAATCACCCAGCTGGCTAGCTTAGGTGGTAGTGTAAAAGATAGCTTTGTCATAATCTTTTCCCCATGTTACTAAAAATTCCCTATCTATGTAATTTTTACGGATAAATAATCTTTGAGAATGTAAATTAACCGTTATTTAATCAACCCCATAGAAATTTGCATTTTGTTATAAATAATAATCTTGCAAAGAATATCCTTGTTACCCCTGTTTTCCTATGGCTCTGATTATTTTAGTGTAATATACTCCTAGAAGAGAAGTGACTAGAACAAGTTTTTTTTTTTTGCTTTCAAGTGTATTTTAACGAGGTCTTTAATAACAATAAAGAAAAGGCAGTTATTTCAGGACATCTCTACCCTTGGAATTGAGTCCAACTTCATATTTTAGAGAATAGCAACCATCTGTGTCTTTCACCAGAGGCAAATGCTTTTGCATTTGGCAGGCAGAGCTACCCAAGCATCTTCAGTAAGACACCTGATGGCTCTGGCAAGGGTAATTCCATCATACAGAATTTTCTTCTAGACCATTACGCCTGTTATTTTCAAGGTAAAAAGATTAACAGATGCTGCAGTTGAAAACGTTGATCTTGACCATCTGGGCTGATCGGTGACATGGAAAAACTATCTATTAGAGATGCAGTCTTCTCGGATTCTCACTGGGTTAAAAATCTTAAATGTATTGTTTTGGGTAAATGAAATATAAGTGGCAAGTGACAAGTAAGCCAAGCAAGGAGGATTTTTACCATTTCTCATAAAAATATTGTCCCAGTAAATAGAGTTAAGTGGTGAAAGGATCTTCAGTTAAGTTTTCAGGTCCTTATGGGATAAATACAAAAATTTTAGTAAGTGTTATAAAATATTAACAAGGACATTCACATTTCCTTGAATCCTTAATGTTTTAAAGTAGTTAATTTACAGTGTTTTCATAGTCCCCACGAAAACTGCATGTTGCAAAGTGAAACTAGAGAGAACACTGGCTTACAGAGTGTATTCAACACTTGAAATCAAAGCATTTCGAGTAGTCCTGATTACCAAGTAGAACTGTTTTGGGTTCTCTGCTCTCATTTCTGCGACTTTATGCCTGAGATGGAGTTCTTCCATTTTCAGCTTCTGAAATTTTAAATAGCTTCTTCCTCCTTCTGTACTGAAGGCTCTATTAGATATTTAATAAAGTGTTTCATTCAAGTGATTTTTAGAATTTTTAATTTTAAACTGCAGATGAAATTTTCTTTGATCTTGGTTTTGTCAGGTCAAATAAATCATTCAGACTATGAAGGGGTTAAATAAACTTCTGCCCAAATAAAGTGAAAAGATAAGCTGGAGTAATTCTTGGACAACTGAGATGTCAAATGTAATGACAGCTATATATTATAGAAAAAAATATATGAAAGTTTGGTCAATAAGTACTTACATAATATCTAATCTATCTTTCTTGCCTTACAGAAAAAGAAATCTCAACAGCAGGGAACAACATGTTTCTAGAAAGAAAATCTCTACAAATGAAGAACAAAAATAAGGTCATAATGTCCTACGAATGTGTCCTGTATTCCCCCCAGGACAGCTGTCCTGCCAGGGTGTGCTTCAGTTCAAAGGCCCAAATAAAGCTGTTAGTGATAAGGTGTCGTTGGCCGTTACAGCCAATATATTATTTCATGAAATTACCATTGAAAGACATCGAAACTACTATTAAAAGTCATTATGACTATTCATGTGCGTCTAACATCTAACACGGTTCCAACTGCTTTCCAGGAATCATCACTTAAACTTTCAGGCCACGTGACACGGGTTCCGCCGTGTCCCAGCTTTACACACCGAGACAGGCAGCCCCGCAGCTGGGAGCAGCACAGCGTGGGTAGGAATCTAGGCTGCTGGACTCAAGAGCTGGTGTGATGGCCACAATGTGGCTGTTCAGTCACCACACTGGCACGGTGCTTTGACATTTTAAAAAGCAGATCTTAGCCCAAATTTTCAGAGCCTCACTGCAGGCTTGTTGACTGGGTACAAACCAGCAAGCTGAGGCTCAGAGCGACTCGGGGCTGTCCTCTGCCACACAGCGGCCAGCAGAGCCTGCACTTTATCCAGTTCCACTGCGGGGTCTCCCCATCAGGCCACCAGGCTAGGGCTGAGACAAGTCTCAAAGAGCCCTGCAAGACGACAGAGTCGGCAATATTTCTGGGGAATGTGGTGTAGCTGTAGACGCAGGCAGAGAACTCAGGGAATCGCCATTCCACTGGCAAGAGTATAGCTAAGGAGTACTCAGCTTCCCCTCCCGGCGAAGCAGTTTTCTCCACCTTTCTTGGGGTTAGAGGGAGAGAATGGATGCTCAGTCCTCGTCGTGCTGTGGAGAGCAGGCTGTGCAGGGGAGGGAACAGAGAGCACAGCTTCTCGTCTAACACAGACAGGTCCGGCCAGCTCCAATCTGCCCTAAGCTTCTCCTGCTTTCCAAGCCTTGACCCTCCCCCTCCGGTGTGTTTTCTCCTCAGTTGCTGCGGGTGCATGTGCATACGGACTTATTGAAAGGAAATCTGTTTTTGAAGTAAATTCCAGTGACTGGGCCAGAGCTGCTGATCATTTCTCAGTTTACTGGTGGTCTTTGTCTGGGGAAGAGCTATTGTTACTGAAATCATCCTGTTCGTTGGGCTTATGTTGCATTTTCTGTTTTTACTTGTGCTAACTTCCAATTATACTAAAACAGCACACCTGCATTTGTGTTTCAATAATCAAAATGTTTTTAAAATGATTTTTTTTGGTATCAAAACAAATACTTACAAAATCAGCTGGGAGGTGAAGCTTATAAAGCTGTAAAATGGACTGAAGTAAACTGGACACCTGGCTGGAGACCAGGACGTCCTGGCCTAGTTTCATGCTGTCCATCACCTTCCTCTGGCTCGTGGCTACCTGCACACTCCACTTGTCCGTGTCTGCGATGATACAGACGGCCTCAGCGATCGGCTCATCAAGCACTGGATGCTGCAGGAGAAGACACCAGTCAGTGTTCCACAACACTTCCTAGTGACACTCAAATCGTCCAGAAGTTTCTGTTTGGTGTTAGACTACTGGCTCAGAACCTGGTGTGGGGGGTGACGGGCAGTAAAGGTATGCTACGTATATACATAAATCTACTCTGACAACCAGCTGAAGGCAGATGGGGAAGTGAATTTATTTTATGATGAATCCAAAAGGTCAAAGGATGGCTTTGGTGAAGATACATTTTATAATGCAAAATCCTTGATGACTGGGCAGCTATGGATATGCTAGTTAACTAGTAAGTTGTGTCATAGGGCAAACCGGGTAAATTGAAGCAGTTAAAGAAAAAGGAATTCAAAAATAAATTTCTCAAAACAATAGTTCGTAACTGTTTCTCCACCAGCACCTTCTGACACATAAACTTATATACGAATCGACGTCAGAACTGCTCGTTAAGGCCCCAATCACGGGGCAGGCCAGGGAGACAGACATGCCTCAGCACCAGTACACGAGCACATTCTTCTAATCATAACCAAAGGAAGACAGAACTGGTCTTCGATCAACGCCCGCCCTCAGCTTGTGGCGGCCGTTTGTTGCTTTGGCTGCTTAGTAAACCTTCCCTCTATAAACATTATCTTCACTCCCTTTGGCCAATGACCTTCTTGGATAGGCCCGAAGGGTCCCACCCTGAGTCTCTCCAGTTAGAAGTCTTACCTGTAGCTTTTCAAATGGTTGCTGCCACCATTTTCCTCTCCAGAGAGCAACTACTACAAATACTTCCAGCTAGCCCATGGCTCCTGGTCTCCAGAGTTGCCTTGTGTCCTCTCCAGTCCAGACCTACTTGTTTTGAGCTCACCAGTTTTGTGAATTCCTAGTATCTTTCCAACAAAGTCCATGCTGCCTAACTTAAGAGTCGATTTCTGCTGCTTGCAGTGGAACCCAAATGGGAACACAACACTGTCACTGAATGATGGCTAAGAGAGCTTTGAGATTTAACACAAGTTGAGGAGTCTGTAAATAGGAACCTAAGCTGCAGCACACTGTGAAAACTCATTTTAACAAGGGGCTTGGCTCCCTAGTCCTGGATGTGGTTAGTAAGAGGAGAGACTGCGCAGCTTTGTATTCTTTATCACTGACACAGAGGAAGAGGCTGGTGGAAGGAAACTACACAGGGATCAACATTTTTTCTTATACTATGGCCAAGGGGCAACTTCCTGCATTCAGACAATATTACCCTATTATAAATGGTCCAACATTTACTAAAACGTATGTTCAGATAATCTTAAACATGAAAAATAAAGAATCTGATTAAAATAGACACAATTAATGAAGCCCTATTTTCCAAGGACAGTTCTCATTTTCTAGACTCGTTGCCCAGAACATACAAAGGTTTGTTTTTTTTTACAACTATAACGACCCCACATTCCTACTCCCATCCAATGGCTTTTACATCCCTCACCCCAACCCTTCTCTCTCTCTCTCTCTCTCTCACACACACACACACACACACACACACACACACTCCAACAGAGTGGAAGATATGGCGTCAGTGATGTCTCTTACAAGCTGCTGCAGGCACCTGCTCACCAGTGTCACAGTTCAGAGCAAGATGATGCAAACTCACTGCTGAGGTGCCTGGGCTTTATGAACAAGGGAAAGAGAAAGCTCCATTTCCACGTGGAAATGTTTGGAAAACAATGGAAATGGATATCGATAAGATTGGGTTTGGAAGTTAAGCCCCTGTGCAATGTATTGGCACAGAACAGATCTAGACCATGGGCCTTTCCTTTGTGAAACTTAATCATTATGAAAAGTAGGAAATGAAAGTAAAGTATGTTATGGAAGTAAACACAATCAGATGCCAATATAGACACAATGATTTGAATGTCTGCCAATCCCCTTTCAAAGTAACATCTAGCTTCTGCAGGGTGGATTGTGGGGTTTTCGGGGGGTAACGGCGCTATGTTCTGATTCAATTCAAATTTCCTACATCATTTCCCACCACAGTGGTACGGGAGGGAAAAGCACTAGACTATATATGGTGCCACAACCAAAGCCAACACAAAGCTTCTGTTTTAAGAAATGAACTATAGGAATGGACCAGGCAAGAAAATAATGAGAATAATGAACAGCCATATACCAGAGACATTTTGTGGGGAATGGGATCAAAAACGGGGTGGTGGGGGGAGGGGAGGGAAGTGCACCGGACTATGGTGATGGCACACGGGTGACTCGGTGATGGGAAACCCACGGGGATTACAATTGAGATGAAAAAAAAAATGTACACAATGATGTAAAAATAAACTATTATAAAAAAAAGAAAAAGAAATGAACTATATGAAGGGCAATGAGGCTCACTGGGGTGGTGGCAAATGGAAGATTCTCCAGGCATGAAGTACTCCAGAAGGCTGAAGATGCAAATATGCAAACAAAGTGGAATGCACACACTGGTTTGATTTTTTTCCTTTTAACGGGCTGGTAGAATCTGAATAGTGCAGACCTAAGGAAGGCCAAGACAAATGGGTCCACACTGGGACACACAGACAAGAACTTGACAGTCCGCTCTTTGCAGGTGGAGAATCTTTTCTGTATTCTCAGCCCCTAGCCCAGCACCTGGACCTTTGAAAAATGTTATTAAATTGAGATGAAATGGGGCAGGGAGTGGTGGTCCATACATCTGAGGAAGTGTGAACCTACTCCCTAAACCATATACAGTGTTATGATACCAAAGTATCCCAGTGAAAGAAAACAAACATACACCAGTTCAGACACACCAAGTGGCAGCTGCCACACACCCTGCACCCCGACACAGCGTGGCACTGAAGTCCCAGGCTCCAGGGTGGGAAACCTGTTGATTATTGTCAAGGAATCTTTTAAAAAAAGGGAAAATACCAGAGGAAGTGCACATTCTCAAAATACCAAACACAACACCAAATGCTCAGCTATCCACAAGGTTACCCCAATGCCTCCATCTAACACCCCATTTAGTAGTTGTTCTCTTGCTTACTGAATAAACACTTTCAAAGAGAGAAGAATAGAAGGAAATGGAAATAAGAAAAAGAAATGAATGCTGGAGGGGGGTGGAGAACTGCATCAGCAATTATTTATACAATTCAAGGGAGACCTGGGGGGGCAGGGGTATGAATAACGATCCAGAGGGTCAAGGGGAAGCTGAAATTCCACTGATTCTGGCGATTTTGGATATAAAACTTTCCAAAGGAAAAACAAGCCCACTAAAGGCAGGGCAGCTTAATCATATCGTGATTTGGCCTATCAGTCAATCTCTAAGCTGTAGAATTTAAGGGGCTCTAAGATCCACAAAACCATGTTTGGATCTGTCATGGAAACACACACCCACACACACCCTGTGCCCTGGTATTCAACTCAACATTCCTCTTAGGAAAGGCTTTGCTGTTGAGGACAAAGAGTGCCACAATAAACAAGAAAATGCAAAATTATGTGTATTGTCTTTAATCAGTTTTACGTATGTGTCCCTCTGTTAATTGTGAAAATAATTAAATCATGAAATCTGTCCAGATAATTTTTAAGTTCAGAATGTGCACACAAAAACACTTAGGTTAAATAGTAACAGACATGGTATGGTACCTGGGAGAAACTAAATTATCTTTAGAAGCGCAATAAAATCTAAGAAAGCGATTCAAAAACTGATTCCAAGCCTGATCTACCCTTCGGGTCTGAAGTCTGGGTGTGGGGACTAGGAAACAGGCAGATGTGGGCACAGAGGCCTCCCACTGACCTTAAGGAAAGGGGAACACAATATGGGGAACTCCGCTGGGAAGTCAGATAATTTAATGTCTCCTTTTCCTAAAGTTGCACATTATTTTTTAAGGCATTTGTTATTCTGACTATAGACCATTCGAAAAACAAAAGAATGATATCATGTGTTTACCCTATAAAAGTTCTGTTCCCAACTGTTATTATCTCAGATTAAACACATCTTTGGATGTTTGTGAATTTGAAAGAAACACTGAAGGAAATATTAAGTCACTTTAAAATGCTTGTTTAGGTTGAAAACTGTGATCCCCATAGTGTTAACTATCCATTTTCCTTTTCTCTCTCAAGCTAAGAGAATCGATTTCAAAGTAAAGTCTGTCAAATTCTCGTTTCAGAGTGAACCAACAAAGGTGTGACGTCCCCACAGACTTGAGACTTCCTGACAGCTGCCTGTCACAGCCTCCCCAATGCCCACTCAGCCCCCGCTCCAGGCCACGCAGCGCAGAGGCACCAGCCCTCAGAGGCCCGGTGCTTTCCACCATAGCTTCCAGGCTGCTGCCAGCAGTTTCCCTGCCCATGAGAAAATCTAACCAGTAGCTCAGAGACTCCTGCGAGAGAACCCTGGATGGTACAGACAGCTGGGGGTGATAGGCAGGGTGGTGACCCATTTCCATCAGAGGAAAGAGGTGCAGGCAACTTCCCTTGTCAGTTCTGCTCTGGTTTATGAGAAGGTGGAAACAATCGCTCATTTAGCTTTGCTGATGTCTCATTTATCCAAATTACTTTCCTGTGAAGAGTTCTCAAGACAAATTAACGTATGAAATGCTTTGTTCAGAAGAACTTCAAAGGGTTCTTGAATATTCTTTGGTTAGATGATAGCTTGTTGAATTAACAGAATATAACTGGGTCTGTTTCCTTGGGAGTGTTAGATGCTCAAGATGTTCCAGTTCCAAGGTTCTAGGCCAGATTACAAAGAATGCTGCCTTAATTTGCACAAACATGACTTCTGCTTAACTGAAACTTCCAGGGACGAGAACAGTCTTCAAGGTTTGGTAATCAAAGGATCCATCGTTCTGTTATTTCAGTAAAGGATAATGGTCAGATAACAGCAAGGGTGCAAAGAGCACCTCATAACTCATTTATCTGGGCCTCAGTTTCTATGACTAAAATTTGGTGGCTCTTAATACACGTAGTTTCTGGGAGGTTCAGTAAGATTTAACCCATAGAGGTTTTCTCTGAATAAAATGCATGAAAAACCGCAGCCAAAT